TTGCTGTTATGTTTAGATCTTCGGTCCATCTGAAATTTGTCTTTGGGTAGAGTGTGAAATAGAACCATAATTAATTTTCAAATGTATAGACGTTTTCTCCAAAATCATTTACTGGGTAGTCTGTCATGTCCCCCCATCTGGAGATGTCCTCTTTATCATGGACACATTCCTATGCATGCGTGTCTGCTTCCAAACTATGTTTCCATTAATTACTGTGCAGATTTAGTTATTATAGTTTTATATAGTATATTTTTATATAATTCCTTCACTACTCAATTGTTTTCCAAATGTTGTTGGCTACTGTGGTACATTTTCTATTCTAGATTCCAAATTCTAAAACTTATACTCCCCAAAATAACCACTGAAATTTCCATTTGAATTGCACTGAATGTATGTTATATTTAGGGATAATTGGTATCTTTACAACATCGTCTTCATATCCATGAATGTAATGTATCTTTTTAAGTCTTCTTTTATGCCTGCAAAGATTCTTAGTTTTCATTTTCATATTATTCTTGCACATTTAAGTTTAATTCTAGGTATTTTGTTGTTTTATTTGCTATTTTAAATGGAATTCTTTTCCATTATGTTGTCTAATTAATGATGGATGGTGTGTAGAAAAACTACTGATTTCATTTCTATGCACTCACCGTACTGATTTTCTTGTTTAATTTTGTTTCAGCTAATTATTTTGGGAGAGGCAAACTTCTGTTGTAAAGGGTCAGACAGGGAATATTTTTGGTTTTGTAGGTCACAGGATCTCTGTTGGAACTACCCAACTTGCCACTGTAGTATAAAAGCAGTCATAACAGACATAAATAAAAAGGCATGGCTATGTTCTAATAAAACCTTATAGAAATAGGCTGCTGGCTAGATTTGGTTTTCTGACTGTATTCTAATGATGCAAATACATCATGTTTAAGTAATATGTCTTCTCTTGTCCCCCAAAACACTGGGTTTCTGAAGAGTGTTGAATAATAGAGGTGATAATAGTTATCATTGTCTTGTTCTGATTTAAGGTGCTAGATAGACTCTTGGTATTTCACTCTTATGTTTGATGTTTCTTATTAATTTTTGACAGATACTTTAATCCAATTAAACATGTTGTCCTCTCTTCCCAAGTGACTGAGAGATTTTAACAGCAATGTGATTGGGTGTTATTGATGCCTTCTGAACATGTGTTAATATTAACATTTCACCTATTATTTTCCTCATGTGTATAAACAAAATGAACTATCTTTTAATTCCTAGAATAAATAATTCCATTTCCTACATTTCATTTAGGATTTCTACATCTACATTCATAAATAAAGCTATAGTTTTCTTTTTGTAGTATCTCTCTGATTTTTAGTACTATTCGGACCTTGTAAAATAAACTGAGAAGCTTCCTATCTTTTTGTGTTCTGAAACACTTTAATACAAAAATTAGCTGTTCTTTGAAAGTTTGCAAGTACGCTCTGAAACCATTTGGACCTGGTAAATGTTTCAGCAATGAGGCTTGCCCTTCCAGCGTCTTCTGCGTCATTGATCTGCAGGAGAAATGCTGTCCCCTCCACATATCACGTCTCTTTGTCCCTGACCCCTAAAGTCTGTGTGCGGCACTGGCCAGTGTTCCCTTAGACTTGTCCTTGGGAAGCCAGTCAGCCCAGGCAAAGTGCAAGTGCAGAGGGCAGGTTTGTCACTGCGTTTCTGCTTGGGTTCAGGAAAGGTTAGATTATACAAGGGAGAAAGATGGAAGGAGAGGGGTACGGAGAAGCTGAAAGGGTGACAGGAGCAACCTCTTTAGAATGAAAATAGTCAGTAAGGGGTGGCCCCAAGCCATCTGGAGTGGGAGAGGGATGGCTCTCCCAGTTCTCACCTCCACTCCCTCTGAGATAGAGCTGCACTGGAGGTTTTAAGGGCATTACTGGTTCAAATAAGGGACTATGCAGTTTAGAAAAGTGAATGGGTTTTTAGGCACCTGAAGGCTTTGGGCCTTCCACTTCCTGTTGGGTTTTCAGGTGCCATTTGCCTGGGCATTGCCACCTTCAGTCCTAAGTGACGCTGACCCTGGATTGCAGAGCCCCTGGCCTCCCCAGCCCCCCTTCCCCATCTATGGGCTACACCCTTTCCCTGGGGGTGGGCAGAAAGGACACAAAGCTGCCAATCTGGGGCCTGCCCCTTTCTCTTCTGGGCCATGCTCAGGTGCTGGGAATGTGGGGAGTCCTTGCTGAGTGGCCCTGGGCTGTGAGCCTGTTCAGAGCTTTCAGTATGCACACCTAGAAGCTCAAGTTGTAGCCCAGGGGTGGCCCACTGTGGGGCAGGATTAAGTGACAGGTGAGAACCGAGGGATGGGCAGTGCAGGCTCACTTCAGATCTACACGGGGGCAAGGAGCTGAGGACCGGGAATGCCCTTTGCTTGAGCTCAGAAGGGTTGACTCTCAGGAACAGGATAAAAATGCTCTCTGTTTCTTTCAGAACCCAGTCTCCAGGTTTTCTAGCCCTGCGTCCAGTTAGGGAGAAAAATGGAAGGCAGAGGCCACAGAAGGCAGTGAGGGCAGGGCTGGCCTCCTCAGGGTGCATGTCCCTGGGGCTCAGAGCTGATGAGCACAGAAAGGTGAGGGTGCTTCACGGCACACATTTATAAATTGTAGACATCTGCCCATGGGCTCCCTATCATGCTTTGTTTATTGTTTTTGAGACCGGGGCAAATACCAAATGTGATCTTGCTGCTTCTTGGCTTGAGCATTTAAAGGTCTTTTCTGGAGAAGTGGGGCCTGAGCCCTATGAGAGGTACACCCACGGCCCGATAGGAAGAGCAGCTCCCTCCTGCACGTTGGACTCTCCATTCTAGAGAAATTGCCCCTCTCCCCACACAGGTATGATGACTTTTAATAGGATTATTGGCCCAAAGGGAAAACCTCTTCCAGCTGAAACCCCATCTGCACCCAGCTTCAGCTGGAATCGCGATGGTCAGCGACAAGACAGTGGTGCCACTGGGTCTGCCCTGAGGTGAAGGCTGTTCAGCGGGATGGCCGGCCGTGGCCTCCACTTGGGGGAACATTTCAGGCTCAGAAAGCCAGCACCCCACAGTACTCCCCACACTTGCCTCATCTGCAGAATCCGGCCTTTCTCTATATGGACTAAACCCCCTAATTGAAGGCTTTGATTATAACAAACCTGCGTGTGCCTGAGGTGTTCCCAGGCAGCCAGGGTGTGGAGACTCAGGAGCTGACAGAGGAGTGGGTGGAGGCGAGGCCCAGAGGCCGGCGGGTTCCCACATGGGATGCTGGGCCTTGAGGAGAATGCTGGGAAGCTCCAGATTTTCTCATTCGTCGTGGACCTGGCTATTCTGAAGTCCTGCTTCCACATGGAAATGTGGTTTACTCTCAGCCCCATGTTTGTGCATAGGCAATGGATGGCATTCACCAGGAACAGCACAAAAGCAAAGCTGCGATCTTCCTGGAAACAGAGTCAGCACTGCGAGCATTAGGGGTGGTGTGAGCTGGCACAGCCTGCTTCCTGCCCTCACTTCTGTGTGAAATAAATAAGTCAGGGCACTGTGCAGCCACCGGCTGGTGGAGGGAAAGGTGCTGGAGGGAGAGGCTTTACGAAAGTCAGAGCCACCAGGAGTCCCAGGGCCATTCCATCAGGCCAGACGAGCTGCGTCTGGTGCTGGTCCACTCTCCGATGCCCACGGGAGGCACCCTGCCTCCCCTCCTTGCCCTGTGCATCCCCACCCAGCCTCCTGGCTGCTCGGCCCTTGATGCTGGGTTTTGGGAAGCTGTTCTCTCCTCTTCGGTGGCATCATCTGCTTCATCAACAGGTTTGCTTTTTCTCAGGTGTTGAGTTCAAATCCCCTAACTCTACTTTAACAGCTAGAACTGAGAAAACTTTCCATACTCGTTTATCTGTTTAAGCATTTAAACACATAACCTGAGTTTTTATAATGTGCCATGTAACGATGTTCACATGGTCCCATAAGATGATAATACCATGTTTTCACTGTATCTTTTTAATATTTAGCTATGTTTTATATATATAGATCCTTACCATTGTACTGCAGTTGCCTGCAGAATTCAGTATAGTCCCAGGCTGCACAGATCATTAGCCTAGGAACAACAGACGACACCATATAACTTAGGCGTGTGCTGGGCTGTGCCATCTAGGTGTGTGAAGTACACTCTGTGACATTCGCACAGTGATGACATCTCCTAATGATGCGTTTCTCAGAACATGCTCCCGTGTTAAGGAAGCCTGACTGCAGTCTGAGCTCGATCTCCCTAGAACCCTCCCCTGCCACACCATGGCTATTCCCGATGTGCGGGTAGTGGCTTCATTACATTAAACATGGCAGTGAGAGCTCCTGCCATGAAAGTTCTGGGTGGAGGGTGGGACCGCCCACAGGTAAGGGAGGTTGGCAGGGAGTGAGTGGGGCAGCTGAGTGGGAGGCCCCATGCCCATGCTGAGGCCCACTTAATTCCTCTGATTTTTAGCAGAATCAGGGTAAACTTCTACTTATTTTGGTGCTCTGAAGAAACAAAACCTGGGCTTGCCATAGAAAAATCTGTTCCCCTCAGGGAATTCCCTCTTGGCTCTGTGAAGGAGAAAAACTACGAAGGGATATTGGGAATGAGGGGTCTCAGGGGCACTGGAAGGCCCTGGCATGTGACGAGCTTGAGTTGCAATGCAGCTGAGAGCCTGAGGGGCTGGCCCAGCCACAGGAGGAAGCCTCTGAGCTGGCCTGGATTTTTTTTCCATTAAAAAGTTATCTGGTTCCTGGGGTGTGATGGTGATGGTGGGAGAGGCTGATAGAGAAAGGGGGGCTCTCTGTACTTTCTGCTCAGTTTTGCTGTGAACCTAAAACTGCTCTAAAAATAGTTTATTAATTTTTTAAAAAGTTATCAGGAAAGAACATCTACAGTTGGTTAGATATGACTAATAACTAGTACCAAAACGGCTTTGTTAACAAAGAATACATTATTATTATTATAAAGTACTCATGAGTAAAGAACAATGAATAATATACATCTAATTTTTTAATACTCAATGCACAATCAACATTTCTGATCAACAGTATAAACCATATAAAAGAGAATTCTGCTTTTCATTTGTACAAATACTGCTTTCATCATTGCAAAACTTTCAAGGTTAAAACGTACCGTATGTCGAAGCTACAAAGCTATTGCTTGAACATTTCTGAAACGAAGTTATTGCTGTCTGTTGTTAGTCGGTTACATTGTCACCTCTAACACCAGTCATCAAATCCACAGGATCTCTTAATTTCCAAGAGATTGTATTGTACAGCAAGATTATTTTTGTGGCCAAATCAGGTCATAGGATTCCTTTTTTTAAAAAGATAAGTAAATGCATCCAGAAATGTATGCACGAGTTTAAGTTTTCCCCATAGTTTTATCTGCTAGGTGATAGGGTGGAGCTTCTTAGTGCTTCTGCTGGGAATTCAGATAGGATAGACTTGCAGCCTCAGAGGACACACTGTGGGTAGTGCAGAGAGACATGGAAGGAAAACACACTGCCTGCTACAGTTTTTATCCCAGGTATAATTTGTGAAGAATGTATAACCAGTGTTTCTTAAAGCATGAATCCTCTTCTTGAATTCTTGTTTTTATAAAAGCCATCCAACCACTTACTTAATCCTCTTGAAATCTGCCTTTTGTAATGTAACTGATAGGTCAATGTTTTCTTTCACTGTGGGAAATAAAGGCTACTTGGTTGCTTTGGGGAGAGCAACAATGTCAGCTGCATAAGTATCAGGAATATTATATTTTATTACTAGTCCACCCTTAATAAAGAGAGCAAGCTTAGGAAATGGAAAAGTGGTGTCTGTTTTATATTTCCTTTGCTTTTCAACCATTGTTTAGACACTCTCCCTTCTAGTGCTTGGAGAACCTTCATGGAAACTCTGTTCAGGTTCTTGACTCTCAGCGACAGATGCGGAGGTCTTTGTGTCTCAGTTCTCTAGTCCTGAGAATCACGTACTCCTGCAGAATTTGCCTGCAAGTCCAAGTCCTTGTGGCTAATCCCTAGGCCGGTAGTTCTCAACTTTGGCTGCACACTGGAATGACCTCAGGAGCTTTAAAACTACAAATGCTTGGGTTTCAGCCCCAGAGAGTTGCCTTTAATTGGTCTGAGGTTTAAGCTTTTTAAAAGCTCCTCAGGTGATGTCACTGCAGCCAGGGCTGAATAACTTCTTTAGGGTGGCTGGACCCAGCCTCGGTAAGACTGTTGGTGAACTAACCAAAGTGTGCTGAACATTATTAGGGCTCTCCAGATATGACTAGTTTATCCTGATAGATGCATATCAATTTTAAATATAAAAATAAAATCATTTGCATTGAAGTCACAGTGTATATATAAACCAACAAAATGCTATGTTATTGCTTTTCTTACATGTACCGGGTCACACTGGCAGATGATGAAGGTATGGCATGCAGCTGGATTTTTCTAGTTGTAACAACAGACAGTCAGCCCTTTCCATTAACATTGCCCCAACAGACTCAACAGAACCTGCCTCAGACCAAGCTAAATGTGCCTTCCATCATCTTTTAAAATTTTCTAAATATAAAGGCGATGCTTCTCTTCTTCACCATGACAATGACCTAGCTTAGCTCCCCAATGACGTTGTGCCTTTTTGTAAGAGAGAGAAAGGGCTTTCCTCTTGCCTCAACTTAACCCTTTTAAACAAAGATTTCCGTTTCAAATTTTGATTCTATTGCAGTCTCTCTAAAGTAAACTGTGTTTCCTTTAGTAGAAAAATGAGTTTCTAAAAATATATTGTACAAAGTTCAGTGCTACATAAAGAGGACGATATCCCACAAAAAAGTTACAAAAATAGATTTACATTTAAAAATCCTGTCTGTGTCTTTAATAGTACAAAGCTGTACCCCTGGTATGGCAGGCGTGGCTGGTGAGAGAGGCAAGGATTTCTGTTCTGCAAGGTTTTACAGCCCCCAGACAAGGAAATGTGAGCAGATCATTATATTGCAACAAAAATGTGTGCTTATCACAAGAAAGAAATGCAGAGTAGACGTTGAGGGCAATTTCAATAGGTGTTGCCTACGCGAAATAGCAGCTCATTCACAAAGGAGGGGAGAGACTGGTTTCTATAACTTACTTAGAGAATGTGGAGGGTTCCCAGGGCTTTTTCAAGGCTCCAGTGAGGGTATCTGCCCCTTTCCAGCTGAACTGCTGGTGACGATGATGAATTGGAGGCTTTTGGAATGGCCACTAGCAGCCAAGTCTCAGGCTTATCAGTGACTGCAAATTGTTCTCTCCACTGCACATGGGAATCTCTACCTTACCCAGCCTTTTATTCTATTCTGACTGGGGGCCCTGGTACAGACCCACAGTCCTGTACAACTGAAGACCCTAGAAATAAGGGTTTCAACCCTGGTTGCCCATTAGAATCATGAAAGAGCCCCTGAGATTTGGGTTGAATTGGTCTGCAGAGACCCCAAGCCCCTTCTTTTGAAGCTCCACAGGTGATTCTCTTCTGCCTGAGGGGAGGTGCTGAGTTCCAGTCACTAACCAGCCTCATCCTACGCAAGTGCAACCAGAGGCCTAGTGAGAGTGGCACTGGATGAGTGGCCCCCTAGCGAGTGCCAAGCAGACCCCCACCAGGCCCTTCCTTTAGGCCAGAGGTTCTGGAAACTTTGATGAATGTTGCAATAACCAGGGGGTGCTCTGAAAAGGCCCTACGGCTGGGCTGCACCTGAGAAAATCAAGTCACAATCTTTCTGGTTGGGACCAGGAGATTCCCAAGGGCAGTCACCCTTGAGAACCAGTGCCTTTCCTGCTAAGCAATCCACAGTCCCCTTATGTCTGCAGTTGTGAGGCGGAGGTGGTAAGTCACAACATCAAGAACTTTCAGCAAACACCTAAGCTTTGTTGTCATCAGCTGGGGTGCAATAGGATGTGTCCACAGTGCTCCCCCTTACAACCTGGACTCACAGCGAATATAGAGTTTAGAAGACTCATCCCTTCTTTGATCCCTCATGGGGTGACAGGCATGGAGCAATTAGAGCAGCTCCTTAGAGATGATGCAAGAAGACGCACGAACGCTGGGGGCACCTGTGAATATGAGCTCTCAGCTCCTCACTTTCCTTTGACCTCTGTTTCCAAAGGCCACATCTGAAGCTGGGGTCATGGGGTAAGGTCTTCCAGGAACCTGAGGAAGAAACAGCCGACAGGCTCCCTGTAGGGTATTAAGGCCAGGCTATCAATCAGGAAGACCTTCAGGGATGGAGTCCAAGCTTTGAGAACTGACGAACAGGGCTGTTAGGTGAAAATCATGGGACTTTGGGCAGCTCCTCTCCCGACCTGCCCACCATGGTCGCCAGATCCGTGGAGAGGCCAATGGCTTTGCGGCTTGTACCAGACAGAACTGTGCCTCCCTGGACAGATGAAGTGAGAACTATTTTGGGAAGTACAATCTTAAAATTAATACATTTAGCAACTAAACTTTATGGTGGAAAATTAAAATATGAAGGAGAAGAAAGCTAGAATAGCTGTTGCTCTTTTATTATGTTAGCGTTTCAAACTACAAAAATACTAGAATTTAATGCTACAATGTGACTCGCTTACAACTGACCTGCCTCATCAATCATCTGCTTCTTGACACATAAGTGACAGCAGAATGTGAGTCCTGTTTCCCAGTTCTGACTGAAATATTTCTGTTTGTCCTGAGGTGAATGAATAATGGAAGTGGTTTACTGATGATAAAAAATCTCAGTTTCTTAGAAATGTTGCATAGTCTTCTCACTAAGCATGTGCAGAGATGATAGCTCAAAATCCCCGTGGGGGATGCAACTTTTAGGGATCTTGTGGGATGAGCCAAGCTCATCCCCTGGCTTAGAGGGAGCAGGTTGCTAGGGCGACTGACCTCAGCCTTATGCGGACTTCAGCAGTGAAGGCGTCTGGCAGCTGTTTCCTTGACCAGGGTGCCCCTGCTGCACCTGCACTTTCCACCTCCCCTGTGGCTGAGACCTGGTCATCCTCCTGTGAGGCCTCCCTGATGAACCTTCCAGGTCTCCTCAGGCAGGACCCAACCTTCCTGCTCTGTGCTCTCACAGTGCCTGGCTGACGGGTCCTGTCTAGTATTTGTCAGGTTGTTTTAAGGTTAGCATCTTTGAGTCCATTTCCTTTGCTAAATTGTAAATTTCTCAGAATCAGGGACTATGTTTTATTTATCTTTGTACCTTTCATACCCATACCAGGTTAGTATAGGTGCTTAGGGGTATTTGAGAGCATAATAGAGTGGAAATGAATATAATTTTATTTTCATTGAGACAAAAATAAAATACTTTCTTAACAAAGCTGTAGGGGCCCTGACTGATCTGGGAGTCAAAAAATACTTTAAAAGCAAAAGGAATATTTTGTGTGTGTGTGTGACTGAACGTAACTGTAGGCTGAAAATATTTTCTGAACCATTTCTTCCTTGATAAATTGGATGGGATGGATATTGACTAGGGGAGTTTAAAACACTGTTTACAAAGGGCTGCTGTTAACCAGTCAGGTTACAGGGCACACACAGATTAAGAAAAAAGGTGGGATCCTAACTAGCTGAGTCTTCCAATTGTAGAGAAATTATTTTAGCAAGGAACTTTTTTTCTTCTAAAACATCTGCAAATGTTGTGAAAGCATTATCAATTTCAAACCCTAGTTTCATATTTACTACCTGAATTCCACATTACTCATAATGCCACTCTCATTCGCACCTGTAAAATGTCCCGTTGTGGCCAGAGCTGTAAGTGCTTGAATAGCTGACTCAGGGCGGAGACACTTTTTGTTTGACAAAGGGTAAGGATGGGGTCTGGGGGCAGCTGACCTGGAGGGAACATATACTCTTTGAGTAAATAGCTTTTAAAGTGAAGTAAAAGGAGAAAATTATCTTCCATGAGGAACCCAAACGAATTTTGGGGGGTTGGGGTGATGGCTAAAGGAGATTTCAGAGCAGCTTCATTTTTGTGGTCTCCTGCTCTATGCCCCAAAGGACCTGATGCATTTCATCTAAGCCTCAAATTAGGAGGTATGTTTTTGCGAGAACAAAAGCGGTGCTCTCCTTAGGTATTCCACATTCTCAGCTGTGGGCTATTGGTCTGAATGCCGATGAATCCAATGTGGGCTGGAATCCGAGTTATTATTTGATGTGTCATCCTCTCTTGCTGATTTCATGACAGCAAGACAGGGGCAGCATACTGAGTTTCAAAACAATGGAATGGAAGACAAACAAGTCAGTCTAACGCTCACGACTGGAAACCACTAGTCAACCAGTGGGGAGTAAGTACCGTGGGGACATTTTTACAAAAGTAAGTCTAAGGAAGAATTCTATCCCCTCCATTTCTTTTTTGCCCAGGAAGGGACAGAGTGGCTTATCCTATTGTACCTGCCATGACTTGATACAGTACCGATCCGGCCTGCTGGGGCCATGAAGGGCTTCTTGGATCTTTAGTGTTTTGCAGTGGAAGCCTTGAAGCACAACCACTGGAATCAAGCGTCCACTGGAAGACTTGTGGCCTGTGCTCCTTGCTCACAGTTGGGCCTGGATGAACTTAGGGTGGCAAGTGCTACCAGCAAGCTTCTTCTTTGTTGGAAGAGCCCATTGAAGTAAAAATGAATAGTGACAATGAAAAACTCCAAGATCCCCAATCAATAAAAATCCTGACATATACTTTTTTTTTTTTTTCAAATATACCTCCTTGAAGGATAAACTTCTGCTCAGAGGGACAGTATTCTTGCTGGATGCGTTTCTGTAAATGCTTCACAGTTTGAAGACAAAGGAATGCACCTGCAACTTCCCAAAATGCGCCCGAGGTGGAAGTACTTCCTGGCTGATCGGTGTACACGTTGCGAAACCAGTCTGTGGGTCTAAGAGCTAATGCGGGCATGGCTGTTGGGATGGAGGACCCGCTGTGGCTTGGTCCTGGGTATTGAAAGAGTCTGGATTTTAAGGGCTCAGGCTGTCCTCCGTGGTCATGCTCCAATAAATTCACTGCTTTGTGGTGCGACCCTTAGGTATTCTGCATTTTCAGCTGTGGAGCCCTTAAAGATGCCATTTGGCTTGGCTTCCTTAGGAAAGAAGTCCTGCTGGTAGTCAGGGTTGTCCAGGCTAATTTGGTGGCTGCCTTTCTGGGCCCAATGAGCAGGGCTGTCGAATGTGCTGTTGACACAGGTGGGCTGGACAGTATTGAGATACTCAGGGTTGCCCACTGCGGTGCTGTGGGGGTCCTGGTAGTGTGGGTCTCTGCTGGGTGCAGGGTTCAGAGGCTGATTGTGATAGACAGGATTCTGCACAGAGCCAGCGGGCCTTTTGGGAACAGACTGGTTTATGTATTCTGAAAGTGGAAAGAAATCAGAGGTGAAGTAATCAGCAGAGCACCATCCCATGCAAGATCCCCGGGTTCTGAACCCTGTGAATGTCTTCAACAGGGAGACTTATGACAGGGAGCAGGAGTCTTGGGAGGGCCCTCTTGCTGTTGCTGCAAAAGAAACTGGGTTCTTTCCTGCACTTCTCAAAGTAATGGACACGTGTGTCTTTTGTAAATCTAAAGTTCTCAGAGGATAGCCTGCTTTGAGGACAGTGTGTGTGTGTGTGTGTGTGTATGTGCATGCATGTGTACATGTATGTGTGGTGTGTATGTGGTATGTGTGTCTGGTGTGTGTATGTGTGCTGTGTGTGTAGTGTATGTGTGTGTGGTGTATGTTTGTATGTGTGTGGTGTGTGCATGTGTGGTGTGTATGTGTGTGTATATGTGGTGTGTGTGTACATGTGTATGTATGGTGTGTGTGGTGTGTATGTGTCTATGTGGGTATGTAAGTGTGGTATGTGTTTGTGTGTGGTGTGGGTGTGTATGTGTGTGTACACATGTGTAAGTGGTGTGTGAACGTGTGTCTGTGGTGTGGGTAAGTGTACATGTGTGTATGTGTGGTGTGTGTATGCGTGGTGTGTGTGGTGTGTATATGTATGTGTGTGGGGTTTTTGTGGTGTGTGGTGTGTATGTGTGTATGTATGTGTGGTGTGTATATGTATGTGTGTGGGGTTTTTGTGGTGTGTGGTGTGTATGTGTGTATGTATGTGTGGTGTGTGTGTGGTGTGGGTATGTGTGCGTACATACGTGTATGTGGTGTGTGTACATGTCTGTGGTGTATGTGTGTGGTGTGTGTACGTGTGTGTGGTGTATGTGTGTGGTGTGTGTGTTGTGTGTGGTGTGTATGTGTGGTGTGTGTATGTGTGTGTATACGTGTGTGTGGTGTCTGTGTGTATATGTGTGTGTAGGTGTGTGGGGTTTTTGTGGTGTGTGTGGTGTATGTGTGGTGTAAGTGTGTATACATGTATGTGTGTGTGTGGTGTGTGTGGTGTATGTGTGTGTATATGTGTGTGCATGTGTATGTGTCTGTGTATGGTGTGTGCGGTCTGTGTATGTGTGTGGTGTGTGTATATGTGTGTGTATGTGTATGTGTGTGTATATATATGTGTGTGTGTTAGCAGGTTGTGAGTGTCTGGATAAAGCTTAAAATTTATTAATATTAACTAATATTTAATTAGTTAAATATATGTTTCACAGGTCAAGAATAGAGCCAGCAGAGAGAACAGGGATCAAATCTGTCACACACACACATACACATACACAGATGTACACACATCATGCACATACACACACACGTATGTCTGTCGTTTGTTTCATAATCTGGAAATTTTGCAGATTCATTCTTAAAACAGAGGTACAGCAAACAACCCAGACACAACAAGGAGCTTGTGCAGGCTCCATCATGTGTTTATCTGCTCCTTACGCCCTTCACTGTGTCTGCAAATCTGCCACTGTTTCCCCCTCTGGAGATGCTGGAGGGAGCACCTAGCTTGGACACTGGGTGGTGGAGACTGGCTGCTGCTGAGTGGGTCGAGGAGGCTGAGGAGCAGGAATGTTTCCAGACAAGCCACTCACCAGGCACTGGGAGGAAGGTGTCGTCTATGCTGTCCTCAGTCAAGGCGCCTGTGGGGTCTGAGCTGTATCGCTGTAAGAAGCTGTCTTCCTTGATGGGACAGCTTTGCAGCTGCAGGAGGAAATGAGGGAAGGTTACTCCAGTCAGGGCTGCTCCAACTTCAGTGTGTGCAAAAATCACCTGAAATCTCCTTGAGATGCAGGTTCTGATTCGTAGGTCAGGCAGGCCTGAGAGTCTGCACCCTAGCGGGTGCCCGTGCTACTGGGCCGCAGGCTGCAGGGCGGGCAGCGGGGCTGTGCTGGGTGCTGTCCAGCAGAACTTTCTGCAGTGAGGGAGGTATGCTATGAGCGGTGCTCTTCAATACGGTCACCACTAGGCACGTGTGGCTACTGGACACTTCACATGTGTGAGAAACTGAATTTTATATTTCATTTCATTTTAACTTACTAACATTTAAGTTGAAGTAGCCACATGTGGCTAGTGGTTTCTGCATGGCACAGTGTGGTCTAGACCAGAGCCTCACATTTCAACAGGCATCAGCATTACCTGGAAGGTGGCTCAAACAAAGACTACTGGGCGCCACCCCCAGAGGTCCTGATTTGGTTAATCTGGGGTGGTGGCCTGAAAAATGGCATTTCTAACAAGCTGCCAGGTGATGCTGCTACTGGTCCAGGAGCCACGCTTTGAATGGCACTGTGAGGCATAACAGCCATGCAAGGAAAAACCCACACAGGAAGAAAATTCAAGATTATCTGGGTTAAGATTATTTAGGTTAAGGCATTTTCCATGTATAATAGAGTCGTAGTGCAGAGCTGTAAATGCTGGCTTATAAGGTGTTCATACATACCCCATTTCTATCAATGCAAGCCACAGTGGAATTGTTGCTAGTTGCACTCTGAAAAAGAAACAGAGAAGTTGCCCATGGAATGCTTGTACTGCATCTCATCCACTTTTCCTGAATGCAAGTGGTGTGCCTCATGGAGGATATATCGTGAAGGTGTTTAATTTTTGTCTTAATCATTAGTTTTAGAGCAACTATGTTTAGTTTTGATTTAATTCTGTTCCATAGTGGACCTAAAAGGCTTACAATCAAGTTGTTGCAATGCAACAAAGTAATACACTTATTTAATTTATTTTGATTTTACCATTTGGTTAAAATTGACTTCATCTCCATGTGAGTTTCACTAGATGGTTGTTATTTTCCCTAAAATTCATTCATTTTGTTCAATTTGAGAGACAGCTTGAGAGAGACAGAGGTTTCATACCAGAGAGCTCAGGAGGGGAGTCCGTGACGTGGAGGGGCTGCTGAAGAAGCCTTGCTGTGGGATGAGGTACTCGTCGGCATCCACCACGTCGTCCATGTCTTCTTCATCCATCAGGGCACGGTAGAAGTTGGAGTCTGTAGGGCTTGGCAAATGCATTCTTTCATCCCCCTGGTGCAGAGATTTTGAGGCTATTAGAATGGCCCGTAGAGATGCTATTCCACTTCTTGGCTATAGGAGCAGGGCTCTATTGCCAGCAGGTGCCTGTGTGTTTGCCAATTTTGTTATAATGAAATCCCCCTTAGTTCTCTGAATTATAGCTGCCTCCCTTCATGGCATGTGGGTGCCTTAAAATAAAACATGAACCATCCTTTGATGCTTGAAAGTCCCTACATGGGATGCAAATAGCTTCTGAGGAAACAGGGAAGAAGCTGCAGCGTTCATCGAGTGTGCACCTTGCTGTGAGGTACTAGGGAGTGTATTTTGCAACATATCTTATTAAATCTTTGAGACCAATCCTGTGAGCCTGGTTTTGGTATTCCCATGTTATGGAAGGAGATAGGTGGATCGGCTGCCTGGGTGATGGGACGAAGTGGAGAGTCAGGGGTGTGAAGCCAGGTCTGCCTGACACCAAGGCCAATAGACCATGCTTCTCTGTTAGACCCAGCTGAAGCTTTGGCTAGCTGGACAGTGAGGATGAGCGTGGGAGGAGAGTTCAGACGGGGACGGGGAGATGGAGTTGGGTGGGCCCCACTCACGGACCCTGCTTAGTTCACGATGTGGCCTGCGCCTTAACTGAGGCTTGCTCTAATGTGCTGGAGGGTTTAATAATTCGATCTGGGACACAGGGAGGCCAGGTTGACATGTGACAGAGCACAGTGACATGAGATGCTTATTAGAGGGACTCTTCCCAATGGAAGGACAGGTTACGATTTGTACCTGAATAACAAGGTAGCGCTGGGGGTCTCGGGCCATTTTGGAGAATTCAACGATCAACTCACGGAACTTTGGGCGACTATCTGCGTCTATCATCCAGCCTGGGGAAGGAATGAGAAAAAACAGTGCAATTACAACACTGGAAGAAATGATAAAGACGGCATTGCTTAAAGAAGGCATTGGTGATGCAACACTTCCAGTCAAATAAGTGATGAAAGAACCAAGTCTTTGTGGTAGACTTTTCTGTCTTGGCCAACTAGTACTGGTTACTGTTTAAAGACCATGCCAGCACCGTACATTTGAATCAGAATAACAATAATGCCCTCCAGTTTTTCTACGCCCACTCTTCCTGGGGTCAGCATCCTGTGTTGTCGCCTGAGGGGATGGAGCAGTGTGGGTCTGTGCAATTGCTCTCTGTGAACTATCCTGACTGCAGGGTGTCCTGCACCAAGGTCCTCACTCGACATCCACCCTCAGCATTCTTTCAGGCAGGAAATCAGATGCAACGTAGAAAAATAGGCTTTAAAGAATTTGAGGTTGGGTCCGGGCCCCTGCCCCTGGCGTCTCCAGTACAGCACATACCCAGTGGGCATACATGCAAGTGAGAGGGCTGGCTGCGCTGGCAACTTCCATAGAAGGACACACTGTTAACTGTGCTGCTGCATGTGACTACCCAACCATCTAAATCCAGATTAAACAAGTTGGAGGTACGGCTACTGCCTGGAAATCCTCATGCCTCTTGAGGGATCACATTTATTTTCCGTCCACAGGATGTCAAGCTATTTTAGGCCAGACTGCTATGTAACCTTAGACGAATCACGTGGCTTCTCTGGATTACAGCTTCCTCAGCTCAAACCAAGGAAGTTAAAAAAGATTAACTCTGTGGTCTAGAGTTCAGAAAGGCACTAATATTTACATTAACTTGGCTCTATCATATTCCCTATACAACTTTCTTTTGCGAATGCTCATCCCATGTATGTAATGCTACCTCCAGAGCCCACTGCACTCGTGAATCTGGTAGAATAATAGCATCGATCAAATTACACACTCTTATGTGCAGAGACTTCACATAAATCCACTGGTTTAAAAAGTTTAAGTCAAAGCAGAAATGTTGACTCTATTAGCCTTATGTTGTTACTCACTGTAATGCATTTAAAAACATTCAGTCTCTCTGGTAACAGGCTTCAAAATACAGGGCAACTCGGTATTTCATTGAGTGACTCGGCGAATAGAGTATTTCGGTGTAATGGCTTGCGGAAGACTTGTTTTATTTATTTGCTTGCAAACATAGGCAAATGTCAGGTCACACTGCCCAATGAGTCAAGAAGTATCTTTAGAAGAATGCTTGAAGGGGTATTTACAGATGTTTCTGGATTTGTGTGCCTGCCTTAAGTAATGTGATGACATTTATCGAGGGATGCAAAGGCCCCAGCTATTTGGCTAAGAGCAGCCACCAAGGCTCAGCTAGGCAGTGTGGACAGCCCCACTGGTCACTCACACTTGACCATGATCATGTAGACATCGATGGTACATATGGGTGGCTGGGGGAGGCGTTCTCCTTTCTCCAGGATGGAGGAGATCTCACTGGCAGGGATTCCGTCATATGGCTTGGATCCAAAGGTCATCAACTCCCAAACGGTCACCCCTGAGAGGATGAAGCAAGAAAAGAAGGCAGTGGGATCATGAATGAATGATCACAATCCCTTGCTTTAGTCATCATTACTGGTTACTGTTTCTTGATGTTTAGAAACCTACATTTCTGTAGTCTTGGGCAATTTGCTTCAGTGCTGGAAGCCTCAGTTCACCTCTCTATAAAGTGGGATAAGAACAGTATCTGTTTCACAGGATGGCTGTGAGGACCCAACAAGATAATGCAACTGAAATCTGTTGTATTAGCACAATGCCCAGCAAGTAGTAAGTGACTGATAAGTGGTAAACTTTGGTAATTAACAATAAAGACAACAGTAACTCTACTAGCATAAATATTATGCTCAAGACAGGATACACACTCAGTCACCTGCTCTGAGGGACCTGTATCTGCAGAAGGAGGAATATGCAGATTCTGAACAGGGCTGTAAACTGCACATTTTTAGATCATAAAAAATTGGAAATGAAAAAGCTTATGTTCCTTTTGATAAAAATAAAAACCTCAGGAAGAAACTGAATCCCTGAACAGACCAATAATGAGCTCCAAAATTGAATCAGTAATAAATAGCCTACCAACCAAAACAAAGCCCAAGACTAGATGGATTCACAGCCAAATTCTATAAGATGTACAAAAAAAAACCGGATATTATTCCTACTGAAACTATTCCAAAAAAATTGAGGAGGAAGGACTCCTCCTTAACTCATTCTATGAGGCCAACATCATCCTGATACCAAAACTTGGCAGAGATACCACACAAAAAAAAGAAAACTTCAGGCCAATATCTCTGATGAACATAGAAGTAAAAATCCTCAACAAAATACTGACAAATTGAATCCAGCAGCACATCAAAAGCTTAAGCCACCACAATCAAGTCAGTTTCATCCCTGGGATGCAAGGTTGGTTTAACATACGTAAATCAATAAATGTGATTCACCACATAAACAGAGCTGAGGACAAAAGCCACATGATCATCTCAATAGCTGCAGAAAGGGCTCTCAATAAAATTCAACATGTTAAAAACTCTCAATAAACTAGGTATTTAAGGAACAAACCTCAACATAATAGCCATCTATGACAAACCCACAGCCAACATCATATTGAATGGGCAAAAGCTGAAAGCATTCCCCTTGAAAATTGACACAAGACGAGGATTCCCTTTCTCAACACTCCTATTCAACATACTATTGGAAGTCCTGGCCAGATAAATCAGGTGAGAGAAAGAAATAATGGACATCCAAACAGGAAGAGAGGAAAACAACTATCCCTGATTGCAGATGACATGATCCTATATTTAGAAAACCCCATAGTCTTGACCCAAAAACCCTTAAGCTGATAAACAACTTCAATGAAGACTCAGTTGTACGAAATCAATGTACAAAAATCATTAGCATTCCAATATGCCAACAACAGTCAAGCTGAGAGCCAAATCAAGAATGTAATTCAATTCACAATTGCCACAAAAAGAATAAAATACCTAGGAATACAGTCAACCAGGGAGGTGAAAGATCTCTACAATGAGAACTACAAAACACTGCTTAAAGAAATCAGAGATGACACAAACAAATGGAAAAACATTCCATGCTCATGGATAGAAAGAATCAATATCATTAAAATGACTATATTGCCCAAAGTAATTTATAGATTAAATGTTACTCCTATCAAACTACCAATGAGATTCTTCACAGAACTAGAAAATACAATTTAAAAATTCACATGGAACCAAAAAAGAGCCTGAATTGCCAAGGCAATCCTAAGCAAAAAGAACAAAGCTGGAGGCATGATGCTACCTGACTTTAAACTACAGGGATACAGTAACCAAAACAGCATGGTACTAGTACAGAAACAGACATACAGACCAATGAAACAGAATAGAGAGCCCAGAAATAAGGCTGCACACCTACAACCGTGTGATCATTGACAAAGTTGACAGAAAAAAAAAAAGCAATGGGGAAAGGACTCCCTACTCAATAAATGACAACTAGCTAGCCATAAAGAAGATTGAAACTGGACTCCTTCCTTACACCATATACAAAAATCAACTCAACATGCATTAAAGACTTAAATGTAAAACCCCAAACTATAAAAACCCTGGAAGACAACCTAGGTAATACCATTCTGGATATAGGAATGGGCTAAGATTTCATGATGAAGACACATCAAGCAATTGCAACAAAAGCACAAATTGACAAATGGGATCTAACTAAACTGAAGATCTTCTGCACAGCAAAAGAAACTATCGTCAGAGTGAATAGACAGCCAACAGAATGGGAGAACATTTTTGCAAGCTATAAATCTGAGAAGGGTCTAATAACCAGCATCTATAAGGAACTTAAGCAAATTTACAAGAAAAAATGAAACAATCCCATTAAAAAGTGGGCAAAGGAAATGAGCAGACACTTTTCAGAAGAAGACATACATGCAGCCAACAAGTATATGAAAAAGAGCTTAACATTACGGACCATTAAAAAAATAAAAATCAAAACCACAATGAGATACCATCTTATACCAGTCAGATGGCTATTATTGAAAAGTAAAAAAAAAAAAAAAAAGAAGAAAACCCGACAGATGCTGGTGAGGTTGTGGAGAAAAAAGGAATGCTTTTACACTGTTGGTGGGAATGTAAATTAGTTCAATTATTGTGGAAAAGAGTGTGGCAGTTTTGCAAATAGCTGAAAACAGAACTACCATTTGACCCAGCAATCCCATTACTCAAAGGAATATAAATCATTCTACCATAAAGACATATGCATGTGTATTTTCACAGCAGCACTATTCACAATAGCAAAGACGTGGAATCAACCTAAATGCCCATCAATGACAGACTGGATAAAGAAAATGTGGCACATATATACCATGGAACACTATGCAGCCACAAAAGAGAACGAGATCATGTACCTTGCAAGAACATGGATGGAGCTAGAGGCCATCATCCTTAGCAAACTAATGCAGGAACAGAAAATCAAATACTGCATGTTCTCACTTATAAGTGGGAGCTAAATGATGAGAACACATGGACATGTAGAGGGGAACAACACACACTGGGGTCTATAGGAAGGTGGAGGAAGGGAGGAGGGAGAGGATCAGGAAAAATAACTAATGGGTACTAGGCTTAATCCCTGGGTGACGAAGTAATCTGTATAACAAACCCCCATGACATAGATTTACCTATGTAACAAACCTGCACATATACCCCTGAACCTAAAATGAAAGTTAAAAAAATGACAGGTACTAAAATCTAAAAAACACGAAACCACATAAAGATATAACAAGCATAGAAAAAAACCGTCATATTTTCCGTTCAAAATCAAACAACTATGACAGTTAAAAACAAGTGAAAGCAGTGATAATTTTAGAACCAGTGTTTTTTCAGACAACCCCGAGTTCTGATGGCCCTCCCATCTCTGGGTAACAGAGGCCATTCCCAGATGGAACCACCTGAATTAATACACAGAATGCAAGCTTAACAGTGGAAGGAAAGCAATGGTTTTGGGGCAAGAAAGTAGATTCTTGTGTCATCCCCTGGCCCCAACACATAGTCTATATGGATTTGTAAAAGAAAAACGGTCTCATTTCCAGATCTATGCAGTCAGTTTACTATTTAACTAGGTTTTTAAACATGCATGATGAATTCTAGTGGGAAGACAGGTTATTAGATTTTGGAACAAACGGTGAGAGGGAGGAGAGTCAGTGTAGCCAGTGTTAGGTGGAGAATGGACTGGAAGGCGTTGTGAATTCTCTCTTTAGCTCGTTGGTACAACACACTAGGTCCCTAATTTATTAAATTGAATAATTTGCCTTGACTAGAGACTAGAGAGTAGAGAAAACAGGATATGATTTTTAGACTAAAAATTCAGGCTCATGGTCTGGTAGTTCCAGTGGGCTGCCCAGGCCAGTGATTATAATCTGCTGTGGCGGCCTCAATGATGTTGAAAACACATAGTGTTTTCAGTGGGAACCTACTTCCTGAGAATGGGTGTGACCACATCAAGGCACTAAGCCACTGAATTCGAGAGGGCTTCCACTTGTACATGGAGTGTGGGCAGTGCGCTGGCACACACAGGCTGTGCCTGGAGCGTGAGGGGAGGGGGACCTCGTGGAGGGGACAGTTGCCAGGGCCAGATGGTCCAGCATCCCATCAGTCATGGCCAGGTGCTCAGGTTTTATCTGAACATACCTGGAGGACCAAAGAAAGATGTTCAGCAGAGAATGAAAAGTCTGATAAAGTTAAAAAAATATGCACTTTGGGAGGCCAAGACAGGCAGATCATGAGGTCAGGAGTTTGAGACCAGCCTGGCCAACATAGTGAAACCCTGTCTCTACTAAAGATACAAAAAATTAGCTGGGCAGTAGCTGCGCCTGCAATCCCAGCTACTCAGGAGGGTGAGGCAGGAAAATCGCTTGAACCCAGGAGGTGGAGGTTGCAGTGAGCCGAGACTGCACCACTGCATTCCAGCCTGGGCGACAGGGCAAGACTCTGTCTAAAAAAAAAAAAAAAAAAAAAGTTAAAAAATGTATGTGGCCGCTGTCTGGAGCATAGATGAGGGGGGGAGCAAGTGGGAAGAGGGGAGACCAGCAGGAGGCCAGGCTGTGCCTGGGGCAGGGCCGGCTGCATGGAGACAAAAGAAATGGCTTGGGGCAGGACCCCGGGGTTCCCTCCTGGAGAGGAAATACATTCTGAAAATGGCTGAAAATAACAATGCATCAGCAGACCTTTATTTCCTTATCTGCTCCATTAATCGAGGCAGCTCAGCTCACAGGTGCACACCAAACTTCACTTATTCATGGACACAAATCTCTGCCTTTGTATCATAAATCTTACATTTTAACAGAGAAGATAAAGACTCAGGAAATTTAAAAATGTGTATGTATTTGGAAAATCAGAAAGTTAATAATGCTATAGGAAAAATAAAAAATACTCAATAAAAAAGGATGATATCCTGAATAATTTTGCTGTTGTGGTACTGACTATATTATTCTCGGAAATTCCCTTCAATAGTGTTCTGCTCAAATACACATTTCTAGAGAGGTAAGGCGACTCCTCCCCTTGCTCCTGTCGCTGTAGATGGCTGGGGTAACCGATTTTCCTCAGTAAAGGGGTAGGTTCATGGGTTCCAGCCTTTCAGTAAGTTGCTGGGTGAAATTCAAGGACCATGTGTGGTAACGCAGTGAAACGTGCCTGGCACAGCGGTCACAGACAATGTGTCAGCAACACTTTCTCAACATGGGAGGCCCTTGTAGGCTCAGGACAGGGCAGGGACCTAGGGCTGGGTGAGGAGAGGGGCCCTCATGAGGATGGGTACAGGCCTGTGCTGGGTAACACTGGGATTCAGAAGAGGAAACAGAGAATCCTCTGGGGCCGGACCAGATGGTCCTCCCAAGAGTGAGAAGCAAGGGTCATCTCCCTTTCTTCTTTTATCCCTGCAGACATCCTCAGTGTGTGTCAAGCTGTTCTCTCTGACACATAAGGGCCAGGGTAGTTCATCATAAGCCTCATTTCTCTGCTGGAACTTTTCCCCACCAAGCTGCTTCTGTCACCTCCCTCTGGTTCACTTCAAATTCATGGCAACGTTAATGGTTTGGTTAAAGTTAAAGTTTGGTTGGACTTTGCAGGGAGAGGCGTTTCCTAAGCTCTTCCCCTCCCATACCCTGCTCCCTGCCAGACCAGCTCATCGCTATCTCCAGTGACTTTCGGACGGCAGCTGGACTCGATTTCCTCTGTCGTGTTTTCTCAGTACAATAGATAGACAGCAACGATTACATTATCATTAGTCATTATCTCAAAAGAAAATACTTGGATGTCAGAGGATATAATGTAAATTAACTAACAATAAAAGCCAGCTTGGCCTCAGTACAAATTCATTAGCATCAGGATTATGACTCACCGTAGCTCCAGACATCACTCTGGTGGGTATAAATTCGGTGTAAAATTGATTCCAATGCCATCCACTTGATAGGCACCTTGGGATGGTGAGAGATAAAGCAGTGAGACAACTATTAGTTTCCCTCTGTTGGAAAAAGTTAACTCACTCTGGACCTAATTACAAGTGACACACACAGAGGAGCCAGGTCACCCCATGACCCGTCCCCCAGGCCTGGCGCCTCCTCCCGGCAAGAGGGGATTTCAGTCTGACGGAGTTCAGGGCTGCTCTGGTAGGTTTCTGAGCACCCTCTGGGTCCTAGGTTGCTCTGGTGAGCTGGGGGCCCTGGGTGGGCCCAGTGGCCTTACTCATCCAGGTCTATGTGTGTTTTCAGGGCCCAGCATCACAGGGTTGGTGGCTGCTAGGAGCCAGGCAGGCCAGAGTGAAACCTCAGAAGGGCATGGCTGTGGGAGGGCATTTGAGGGCATGACAGGGGACATGCATCCCTAAGTGCTGGGAGCATCCCTAAGAGAAACTTGAGCCAGAAAAGGGACAGAAGGACTCCATCACTGCCTGTCCCAGCCACGAGCCACAGACAGCCCTGGGAGCTCGGGCCCGCAAGGGGGCCTTTCCTGTTCCTTAGGTGTCCTCGACAGCAGTGGGCCACCAAGGCAGCTGTGACCTTTCCCAATTGTGCTATTGAAGAGGACTTATATATCCTGCAGGGAGAGGCTGAAATCTAACCTATGCTAATGATCACCTGGGGGTAACATCCTCATTCACTGTCCCAGCAAGTCCCATTCCCAAAGCAGCTCTGGCTCACACTGCCAGGAGACCCCGGCTGGACCAGCTGCCAGTGGCAGCTGCTGCGAGCTCACCCAGAAAGTCTGGAGAGCGTCCTCCCCTGCATGAGTTAGATAATACAGCTGGTGGGTAGGTAGCCTGGTCCCTGGTGTCAGGAAAATGCTGGCTGACCTACAAGCCACCTCCTTACTTTGCCTCCTTCTGCATGGTATTCTTTCTCTTCTGCACCCAGCAGTTTGGCCAGCCCAAAATCTGTGATCTTGACATGCTGTGGCGTTTTCACCAGTACATTCCTGGCTGCCAGGTCGCGGTGCACCAAGCGCCGGTCCTCCAAGTAGTTCATGCCCTGAAACACAGAAGACCCTGTGGTGAGGGGCAGATCGTCATGGGAAGAAGCTCTGAATCTGAATTCAGGGTCGTGTCCATGCCAGGCTCTGAGCCTCTCCAGCTCGAGGACTTACGGCGGGTGAACGTTAGTGACTACTGATCCAAAGAATGGCAAGGCAGATGAAAGAAGATGTAACCCGCTGCTGACTTTTGTCCATCCAGTTCCTCAAGTTTTAAGCCCAAAGGTGCCCGTACATGAGGACACAGAAGAGCAGGAGCTCTGCTGCCTTGCTGAGACCTGTGCTTGAACTTGCTGGACTTGCCAGGCCGACCTTCATGCATGTGGTTTATCTGCAAAGCGGGGGTGGGGGGTGGCGGGGACCATGCCCTCCGAACCAAGCTGGTGCAAAGGAATGTCTGTCAGGGTTTTTAAGCCACACTCTCATTGTGCTTTCTTGGACTCTCTGACATGGTTCACTGCCTATGAAGATTTTTGTACTGTTTTACTTTTCACTGGTTTATTATTATTATTACTGAAACCACATGGATACTGAATATGCTTTTAGAAGACCCCACTCCCCTCACCTTCCTGGCTGCCTCCACAATCCCGCTGCAATTAGAATCTCTGCTCTGAGAATAAGAAAGAGAGAATATGTGAGAAGCAGCCAGCACAGCGCCCAACAGAGTGAATTCCTAGAAATGCTACCTGACCCTGGCTGACCCTGACCCATGGCCTCTGGTAACCTTGTCACACGCACCTTCCTCCCTGCTGGCTGCTGGGGTCACTGCTGACCTCTGTTCCTCCTTGCTCGATGGATGCCTACCTTGCTGAGCCCAACTGCCCCAGGCTTTGGCATGAGCGTGGCAGCCTGCATCTCTCTGCAAGGGCCAGGCTGGCAGGTGGGAGAGGCTGGGAGGGGTCAAGTTCTGCAGACCTCTTTGTTTCTACCACTCTCTCTTCTCTGTCCCCCAAGAGGGTAGGCCACCTTTCTAGTTCCCTTTATGGCTGATGTTCATGTACTTTCTAGTACAGAGTGGGCACCACAGAAATGCTCACTGTGGTGCAGCAAATAGAAACAAACAGGCATCCCCAGCCCGCTCCACTCTGCCATTTCTGTATGGAGGGATCCCACTGTAGTGTGACTGCAGGGAAGAGCTGTCGATGTGGATGGATTCCCAAGTTTTCCGGCAAGTTAGTTGTCTGCTTTTTTTTGCGCGAATGTTATGTGAAAATGATGCGTTGAGTTGGCATGTCAGAGCAAAATTAAAATTTTTTCTTTCTCAGGCAAAACCAGTCATCACAAGAACGTAGGGTCTCACAAAGATGCTATGCAGAATTAGTCTTCGGGTGCCATTTGTGAGGCCTTTAATGTTTTTCTCTTTTGGAAAAGAGACACTTGCCTGACACCCACGTCTCATGACTACATGGACTGTCCCCTCACCCCGCACAGCCGAGAGCGCTCCTACGGGTTTCCGGTGCTGCTGGACGTTAGTACTTCCCTGCCTGCTTAAGAGGAAATGAGCAGGTTCTTCTCCGGAACAACACTTCCAAATTAGGAAGTAGTATGTCAGGATGGCGGGTGGAAAGGGAGAGGAGAGGGAGGGGCAGAAGCCGAGGAAGCGCTTCCCAAGAGGACTGGCCCAGACTCCCTGCTACTCTGGCAGCCTGGGTCTCCTGCAGAGGCAAGCTCCCTGCCCCCCACTCCCGTCTGCTTCCTCTGACTCCTGGGATGCTGGCTTGCTCTCTGCCTGGTACCCTGTCTCTTACAGAGCAAGGCCTCTGCTTATTAAATATCATGAACTCCTGCCCATTCAAAAGGGAGAGTTAGGCTCCGCCTCTTGCTGGTTTGACTGAGTGTCTACCTTCTTGGCTGTGTGAACTCCCAGGCTGTCTCCCCTTCTCTATTCTCTATCCCTTGATTTCTCACCCTCACCCTTGCTTTCTTCTTGCCTTCTACCCTGTATCTCTTTTGTTCATTCTTCACATTTGTTGAAGGCGTTCTCCGCGGTAGCTGCTGAGCAGGAGTGGCACAGGCCTACAGTAAAGAGCCACACACAAGTCCCTGTGCAGGGGACCGGGAGCCTCTCCTTTTCTCCCTCTCTATTTAAAATGTGTGGTTTCTACATGTTCATTAAGCCCACAAAGAGGCCTTCAGAGCACATTCCCAGCTTCATTTCACCACCATTGCTAACTTCTATTCTGCCTCTTTAAATGCTTAGCGGAGATTTTGGTATACTGGGCATGTTTTAAAAACAGCCTGCTGAAGAATGAACAACTGAATGAATGAATGAATGAATGATTGAATGATCGGTGATAGCAGCTGATGGTGCTGAGCACTGGTGATGTGCCAGTCATTTCACACACGTCTGTGCAGACGCCTTTTCCATCCCAGTCCCCACACAACCACCTTGTTAGATGACCTGGGGTCCAGGGGCTGAAGCATGTAGTTGCACAGACCAAATCCTCTGAGCCCTCAAGACCACTACTGGGACCATGGCTTTAATTCCCCTGCTGGGAAACGTGCCTGCTAAGCCAGAGGCTGCTTGGGGTTTTATACACACACACACACACACACACACACACACACACATATTATGTGTGAGAGCATGAGACAGCATGAGCACACACCTTGGTCCCGTGCCTCTGGGGAGGTCCGCATCACTCTGTCAGTCTAACAAATCCAGCTGATCTCTGGTCCAGCCCTTCCCGGCTCTTCAGACCAGGGCTTTAAAGGACCTGAGGCATTTCCACACAGTGTCTGTTTCCTCAGAACACAGGTCTTCAGCAAAGGTGTGGGAAAGGGCAGAGAGAGCACAGGACATATTCTGGAATTCAGGTAATGAGCTGGAGGGTTTTAAATCAGAGACAGCTTTGGGACAAGGAGAGAATCTCATGTGAACTTAGATGAGACTTGACGCATGGGTCTCTGTTCCACTGCCGGCACATTTGAAAGGACAACTCTGTGCCTGGCGCAGTTACGCTTTAACCGGTCCCCAAAGATAAGAGCCACGATACGGCCTGTGAGCTCCCAGGGTCAGAGCAGAGGCTGCAGGAAGCAATAACAGCAAAGCCTCAGCGGGGCCTCTCAGGAAACTCAGTTCCTGCTGCTTCTCCGAGACCCTCACTTTAATTGAAATTAAAATATTTATTTTTGTTAATTACTACAGGAAAGCTGGAATGAATTTTGAAATACAGCACTGAGGTTAAAAGGGGATTTGAAAAGTCAGCCTGGAACTTCCACTCACAAAAAGGAAGGCTCTGCTCCACATGGCTGTCGGGGCTTTTTCTGACAGGGTTCCCCAGAGCGAGGGGCGGGGGCTGTGTTTAACCCTGAAGGGCTGGATGTTCCCAGGGGCTGCCACACCCCACAAATCTTGGGAGGAGTTCAGAGTGAGAGGTGGGAACTGGATTGTTTGTATTCTGTTTTGTAAACCTCCGTGGAAGAGCTCATGGAGCAGTGACTTAGTGAGGAAGGAAGTGGAGGATGCGAGGACGAGAAGGCCGCGAAGGCCGCGTGGTTCTTGTGGAGTGGAGGGTTTTCCTATCAACACTATTTTGTTGTTGCTGTGGTTCAGAAGTATTTATTTAAAGCAAGATCAGAAAGAGGCTTACGGTTCATCATCTTCAAATTAACCCACCTCTACCAGAACCATGCTGAGACCAAGATCACCATCACCCTTCCCCTAGGGGTTGGGGCTCTCCCCTCACCTCCACTTTGGGCTGCTCCTGAGGCAGGCAGGGCCAGACACTCCTGACCACAGCTAGGGAGAAGGCGAGAGGCCCCGCAGGGCTTCCTCGGGCCTCATCTTCCAGGATCCCCCTGCATAAATGATGGTGTTCTCCCCTCAACCTTTCAGCCCTTGGGGTGCAGGTGGGGAGGGCAGCCCCACCCCAGAGACCCACCCGCAGCTGGTAGAGGTAAGGGATGGGGTTCGGGGGACTCCAAAGCTACAGATCTGATGACGTGTTTAAGCAGAGTGGCCACCAGGAGAAGCCTCCGCTCCTGCCTCTGGACTCCAGATTTCAGAGCATCTGTGGCCTTGAGCTCCCCAAAAATGGAAGAGTCTGCTCCTCGGGCCATCTTGTCACCTTCCCAGGTGGGCACAGAGTAAGTGCTGGACCTCGGAAGGGGCAGGAAAGTGTCAGAATGTCCTATTCCCAGACAGAAGTGGAGTAGCACGGGCACCCTTGCTGTTCAGGGAGGGGGTGCTGCTGGGACCCCTGTCCTGAGAGTCGTGCTCTGAGCTGGGGCATCCGTGCAGGCTGAGAGGCTGCACCATGGAACTGGGCCACTTGGATCAAATCCTGAGATCTTGGCAAGTGACATGAACGCCGCATGCCTTTGTTTTCCCATATGTAGAATGGGTTAATCAGAGGGTGGAATGAGTTTATGCAGAGACAGCACTTGCTTAGATAGCACCCATGTGGAGTCCCGTGGAGGTGCTCGTGATTGTCACCATTCCTCTAAATGCCAAATCTATCTTCTCTTCTCCATCCCTTTTGCAGCGATCTTGAATTTGGCCACCATCTTGCCTTTGTGATGAGGCTCCATGTGCTTGGCCTTGAGGGGTCCACCCCTCCCTCCCCAGTGTCCCTTACTTTGTGGCTTCCTCCGTGTCCTCAGCATCTCCCAGTCAGAGTCACTTCCCCACTCTCGAGTGCCTTCATGCCCTGTTCACAGCCAACTCTCACCTACAGAGGCCTCCAGGACAGGGAGAGGACCTGTCACGCTGTTTGGTCTGCAAAACTCAGGGCTCTGGAGGGTGAGGGGCCATCTGGCTTGTTCACTGCTGTCTTTCCAGAGCAGGGGGCTTGGCTGACAGACCCAGTCCATTTGGCTTCGGAGCTCACCCTCCCTGCACCTTGCACCGTGGCCTCACGACAGCTGCGTCTCCTGCTCTGATCTGCTTCCCTTCCTGCTCTGTATTTGTTGGCAAACTTGGGGAGATAAGAAATTTTGTCTTACTTCTATATATATTTCATGTGATGCTTAACACTAGCAGATGCTTAAGAAATAA